AAAGATCAGAAAAAATAAGAAAGAGCAGAACAAACCAAACCCAGCAGCTGCTTTACATCAATTTTTGAATGATTTTTCTTATTATTCATGTTTTTAATGGTACAAATAATGTTAAATTCTGCCTAGAAAAGCTGAAATAGTTGCTACATGACCCACTGCTTTAGATGTTGCTGCTCTCTGTCTGATGTGCTTTTTATATTCTGTTTTTATGTTGCACTTTATTTAATTCTAATGTTTTGTTTGTCTTGAATAGTTTCTTTTCTTTTTTAACTAAATACTTTTATGCCTCAGGAGCACTATTCAAATTCCAATTTTGTTATCTTTTCGTCTGACTTCAGTATAATGACAACAAAGCTACTAAATCAAGCGCTACATAGATGTTTTTGTCATTTCTGGGTATGAATAAAAAAAAAAGCAAAGAATTGTTCAATCAGAGAAGTCTGCAAAACTGTATAAAGTGAGTGAATCAGTGTAAAACTACTGCACACAACAGTTCAGTACGTATACAGTTCAGGCTAAAGGTACATCTCTGAGGCACAGTTTGATTAATTGCTTTGAGGGAAGATGATCCGACAGAAAGAGAGTGATCTTCCTCCCACAGGGTCCAAAAACATGCTGAGGTTAATTGGGGATTCTAAATTGTCGGTAGATGCAAACAAGAGTGTGTTTGTTTGTTTCTCTGTGTAGCCCTGTGAGAGACTGGTGACCTGTCCAGGGTGAAGTCAGCTGAGCTTATTCAGTTGAGTCAGGGATAGACTCCAGCCCCCCATGACCCCAGTGAGGATTAAGCGGTGTATAGATAATGGATGGATGGATGGATGGATGTGTTACTGGGAGAAATATGGGGATCAACAGCTCCCCCATGTGGACAGAAAACACTCCTTCTTATAGGAAACAAAGCACAGATCTCTCAGTGTTTTTCCAAATAAAGCTTCATCAGTCCATAAACAAATAACCTACTTAAATCACTACATGAGGTCACATTATGTCCGTGAGTTCAAACACTTTTCTGAAGTTGTGTACTTGAACAAGTGCAACTTGACCCTTTGCTGAAGTTTGTCTGCCGACATTACGAAAAAGAAACTTATGTTTTTCCCCAACTAATGGCTGTTAAGAGTGTGTGTTTATGTACACTGGTATTTTGCTTTATTTATTTGACTTATTTATGTGTATGTATATAAACATAAAGTATATATATATTTCTTGAACACTTATTTTTATTATATTTTTAATTTTTCTTTTTATTGAAACTGAATGCTTCTACAAAACACATTGTGCCATGTATAAATGTGTATGTGACAAATAAAGCTTATCTTGAATCTTGAATCTTGTATGTAGCTGACTGTGACATGTCCGTGCACTCTCTGTTGAAAATGTATGTTGCAGCAACAGTAGCCCAAGAAAGACTGTTCTTAGTGGGTAGTAAAGCTTATTATACTGCATCACATCATATCATGCTATCACATCATATTTCATTACATCACATAGAATCGTATCTTATTTTACTGTATCATATATCATATCATATCGTATCGTTACATATCACATTGTTTTTTGGGTTGTTTTTTTTTCAAGTTAATTTTTTGGCCTTTGTGCCTTTATTGGACAGTGCTAGTGAGAGAGAGACAGGAAAGTAGGGGAGAAGAATGGGGGGTAATGTGGGAGAGGGTCATGGGCGGGATTCGAACTCATGACCTCCACATTGGGACTGTAGCCCTGTACATGGGACACCAGCTCAACCAGGTGAGCAATCGTGGCGCCCCAATTTTATTTTATCAGATTATATTATATTGTATCATATCACATCGTATTGTATCGTATGGCATCGTACATCTTGTATTGGATTGTGTTGCCATGCATCGTATCGTGTCGTATTGTGTCGTATCGCATTGCATTGTATCTTTTTGTTTTGTATTATATCGCATCAGACTGTATCGTAACGTAGAACATTACATTATATCAGATTATATCTATTGTATGATGTCGTGTCACATCATATGGGATTGTGTTGTATCATATTGTATCAAATTGTATCAAATTGTATCGCAACGTAACACCTTATATTGTTATCCTATCACATTGTAATGTATCCTATCGTATCATGTTTCATCACATTGTATCCTATTACATTATATTTTATCATATCGCGATGCATCTTTTAGTATTGGTTTGTACTGTATCATATTGTATTGCATCATATCGCGCTGTACTGAATTGATTTTTTTTGTTTTTGTATTATATCGTATTACGTGCCACCGCTGACCCAGGACTACTGTACATAACACAGCTAAATAAGTATAAGTCTCCCACGCTGCCTAAGTCCTCCTGATGTAACACTTCTTATGCTATGCAACGCACAGAGGTCACAAAGGTCACCCTTTATCTCCCCACAGAAGCTAATACGCTCAGTTTTACGGCCATTTGCAGGCTTTAGATTCTTTGGGAGATTATTCGAGGCTCATGACATGACATTTTCTCGCATACATACACACACACAGACGCCAGAGGACATGCAGTAGCCTTGTTCCTTTACACCAGAGTTTTAATATTACATGCTAACTTCACAATGACCTCGTTCTCTTGAGGTTTGTTTCCATCTGGCATGAAATAATCCAATTAACTGCAAATGCATTTTACTCTTTTACCTGGTGACCCACTTGGTTGGTGTCAAGTGTTGTTTTTTTTTTTTTTTACGAAAGTGACGCGTTCTGATATGAAAGCACACATGAATGTTTAAGTTAGCGCCGGTCCGTCTGTGCTTACTCAACTGTAAGTTTCAGACATGCACGCTGAATAATTCAGGTTTTTATGTCTTGTTGCCATGGTTGTCTCTGAAATGGTTGCTTGGGCCGCTACGACACACATACACACACACACACACACACACACACACATGGACACACACACACCAATATGAGCATGTTGACAGATGTGAACACCCCCGTACTCCCACCGAAGGCAGAAGCAAGAGGCAGACATTATGAATTCACTCCCCCCTCCTTCACTTCACACTCCTATTATTATTAAAACTCCTGTTATTAAGCAGCCTGGCCGGGTGCGGGGTTCCCTGCTGTTACACCACAATGGACGCACTGTGAAGAAATGCGACTGGTTTCCTATTAATGGAACACCTCCACTGGGTTTAATCGCCGCCATCGCCTGGAGATGAAGCACAAAAGTCAAACTCCAAAGTGAAACCCAGCTGCTCTCCACCTGTTACAGATTGCAATGTCACTTTCACATACATGTAGTCTTTTTTTTTTGTTTATGTTGTTGTTTCTGCTGTGAAGTGGGCTTATATTTTCACCACCTGTGAGACGTAGGTGTGAAACGTTGCCCGTATACATTTCACACATTCCAGAGGAAGCGTTTTAACCGTTGTGAGAAAACTCCAGATTGTCTGAAGCGGTCTGGCCTCTGGGAAAATGTGTGTAAATATTGTGTACGGACAAAGTGCTGCTGAAATCTGGGCCTTCAGTCGACTATATAATGCCTCCTGCAGGCTAATGGAGCACACAATGGCCTTTAATAGCCTGTTTAGAAAGTCACTTTGTCAAAGGTTAGACTGTTGAATAGGCAGCTGTGGATAATGACAAAGGTCTTTGAAAGTGGGAGTGAAAGTACACAGATAAAATAAAAATCAGTCTTTGATGTTTGTGTTTGATGGTAGCTGTGCCAAATGTGTGGATGCATGTTAATATGAAATACACTGTAAAACATTTTAGGTTTGTTCAACTGTTTCCCTTTAGCTGCGTTTGTGTTGTTTGTGTTGCTCAAAGTGGTGAAAGTAACAGAATTAACTGAACCTAAAAACACACGTTCAATAAAATGAAGTTATTCAGTTGAGTCAGCTTGTAAATCACACAAACAATAGCTGCAGAGCTGCTTTAAATTTTTACAGTTTTTCACTTTAAAGAGTTTGTTTTTCTATTAATATGAAAAACGTTTGGCTAATGTATGGCTATAGGGACTGAAATCAATATTAACCTTTTCTATGGTAAGAATTAAACTAAATTTCATTATTATGGAAGGAAGCAACCATGGATTTAAAAAAAAAAAGTTTGTTTTTAGTTTTTCAAAAAACAAAACAAAAATAAAAACTGTTGAAACTGTTAACATGCTATTTTTTGTTTGTTTGTTTTTAAATTCCACACAGGATTTTTTGTTGTTGTTGTTTGTTTGTTTGTCTTAACAATTAAGTATTCCATTATTTTTTAAGTAATTTTTTTCTGGCACCATTGCTGCCAGATGTTTCTAGTTTATTTACCTCACAGTTTAAAGTGTTTGAAAATATTTGTTTGTTTGTTTGTTTACAGTTTTGGAATGAGAAATGTTCATTTTAGTTTTTAAAGGTTACCATACAGCATCATTTTGGAACATTGTTTTGTTTTTGTTTTGTTTTTTTTAGCACCCTTGCTGCCACATTTACAGCATTTATTTTCTTTTATAATAACAAAACAGGGCAAAAAGGAGGAAAAACTAATACTAAAACTATTCCAAAAGGTACAGTTAAAACTCTTTACAGTATTTTTTGATTAGTTTTTTTTCCCATTACAGTCTTTAAACATTACAATATTCAACCATTGTTTAAAACAGATGCCTTTGCTGCTAGATTTTCAATGTTTTTAGATTTATTCATTTTTTACAGTGCAAATAAATAAATAAATGCAGCTAAAACTGTTGGAAGGTGTTCTTTTTTTATGTTACACCACTCCAAATTTTTCAGCGGATATTTTTCTGGCAGTGTTTTACCTTTTTGTTGTTGTTTTACAGTGTGTGGTTAAACAAATCAGGGAAACACTGTAAAATAACAGAAAACTATAGAAAACAATGCAACGTCATTTAAATTTTTTTTTTTTTTTTATTGCTTACAGTGCACTAAACCTCAGCTGAAAGTGGAGGAGCTCAACATTAGTTTGCATTTTTACTATTTTTTATTTTTTTCTGTCGCGCGACGTGGGATGCGCTCGAGTCCGGCCGGAGAGCGCGCACGCAGCTCTCGTGGGGGAGCCGCGCGGAGACGTGAGCTTTTCTTTGTACTGAATGAAGAGTTGAGGCCGGCTGCGCTCCCGCTGCTCCTCTTTTTATACAAGCACACTTTGCATGCTGTAAATAGCCCAATAAGCCGGTTTACTCTCTCCGCTCCGCCGCCTCCGTCGCTCCCCTTTAGTGCCGTGGAGGCGACCAGCCGCTGCCCAGCCTCCCTTCCAGCGGGTTCGGACAACAAAAGCATCAGGTCCGGCGTGTCGTCCGTCTCTTCTTCGGGGGATTTCAAGTCATTCACCAGCCGGGATTTTTTGTCAGAGCGGAAAAGCCTCCTCCTCCTCTCCAGTCACACTTCCACACACGGGGAGGTTTTCCTTATTTTTTTGTAGAAACCCCCCCTTTTCCCCACACTCTTAACAACCGAGCGACCATGGCAGCTGTAACGAGCCCGGAGACGAGCCCTCAGCCCCGGGTATATTTCCAGACGCCGGCCGGCACCACGGAGGAGCCGGAGACTCCGGTTCGGAAGCAGGGGCGCGTTACCGTCAAATACGACCGAAAGGAGCTGAGGAAGAGACTGAACCTGGAGGAGTGGATTATCGACCAGCTAACGGACCTCTACGACTGCGAGGTAAGAGACTCCGAACAATAACCGATCGAACGTATCGATCAGGCGGCTCCGCTAAAGTAATAGTGCGCGCGTCCGAACCCGAAGCAAACTGTTGATAAAGAGGCTTTAACGGGCCCTTTGTCGGTGCCGCTGGCCTAGCCTCGGTTCTGTTACAGCCTATAACGTGGGCCACATGCGAGGAGGCAATATAGGGAAGCCGGAAATTAAAGAAAAGAGTGAGAATATCCCGTTTTAATGGCTTTTATTCATGTATTGGTGGTTAAACTTGGTGGCCTCCCCCCTCAGGTGGAGGCTAAATGTAGCACATGTACCTTTATAGCCCGACCGTGGAGACACACACTCTGTTCTTTGTCCTGATTGGCTGAGGCGCTTTAAAGCACACCTGTGAATTAAATTAATTCATTATTAAAGGCTGCTTATGTCCAGGCTTTTTATTGTTTAGCTGCTGTTTGGGAGCTGTTTTGGTCTAAAATAAAATAAAATAAATAAATAAAATAAAAGTTAGGACCTCCAGTGTGTTTTAACAATAAATTAGTAAATAAAAACGGATTGAGATCCATTTTTGAGGAGTAAGACTCACATATCGGCTGATACTGTTTATGCATATGTGTTTGTGATATTGAAAAGATAACACCATGGGGTCATTGTGTGTTAAGTTCCCAGCAATTTAACTCAATTTAACCCCACACCATCTGCTAAGCTGTGGTGCATGCTCTGCTACATGCGCTGCAAACGATAACGATTGGGACGATGCACATTTTTGTGGACTAAGAAATTGTGATATTGACGTTTTATTGTTTACACACATATAGAGTCATTGTTTATTAACTTTCCAGTAATGTGTTATACAAACTAGTTAGCAACTTAGCGTGAAGTCGCCCCTCGACTCTGCACCATCTGCTAAGCTGTGGTGCATGCTCTGCTACATGCGCTGCAAACAACAACGATTGGGACGATACACAGTTTTGTGGACTAAGAAATCGTGATATTGACGTTTTATTGTTTATGCATATATGGAGTCATTGTTTATTAACTTTCCAGTAATGTGTTTTAGCAACTTAGCATGAAGTCACCACTTGACTCCGCACCATCTGCTGAGCTGTGACGCATGCTCTGCTACATGCACTGCAGACAGTAAACTATGGAGTCTGAGCTGCTCTGGTGGACAAATTGTGCAGTGACACAATTTTAAATGACCACACACACATTTTGTTCCTTTACAATGTTCTGTAAAATATTTTTATATCATACAACATATACCAATATATCCATAATAGGCAGATATTAGTCGATAATAGTAGTTGACTAATATATCAGTCGGGCGCTAGTCTAGCGGTGTCTGGTTTGGTTCTGAGCATGTGTATTAACAGTGTGAGTGTGTAATTAAGACAAACTGGATTTTTGGGACTGAGTACGAAACTGTGATTTTGATGTTTTTTTGTTTACGCATATATGGAGTCATTGTTTATTGACTTTCCAGCAATGTCATTCCCAAACTAGTTAGCAACTTAGCATGAAGCCACCGCTTGACTCCGCACCGCCGTCTGCTCAGCTGTGATGCATGCTCTGCTGCATGCGCTGCAGGCAGTGTAGAGTAAGAGAGATGATGTAATGGCACTGATTCTAAACTGCTTAAATCATCTTTTTCTGTATTATGTTTTATAAAAGAAAGTTTTCATATCAGATAATACATGCGCTGAAACCGATTAGCAATGCAAATTTTAAGCCGTTTTATCAACCAATGATCAGGAACCTTGTTAATCAGTAATCGATTAGTCGATAACACAAATTAACTTAATGTATACGATTCCATTTCCTGATAAAACTGCTTTAAATGCTCCTGGAGAAGACAGTCAGACACTAGCTCATATTGACGCCGTCATAGTCCAATTTAGATCCAGCCGGTAGCCATTTAGCATCACAGGATGCTTCCTCATGGTGTCCTTTTCTAGCTAAACTCCCACAATGCTCTCTGCTTGCCAACATTGTACTCCAAAAGAGTGCTTCCTCAGGTCAATAAAGTGTTAAACAATACAAAGCGCCACCTGATGGTGCAGCTAGGTACTACAGCTAATGTACAATACAATCTCTGGCATGCATGACCTTATCAGGTTGTATTTTTTTATTCAGTTACATTATTAATAGCAATTAACTGATATATTGGCCAACCGGTATATCAGTGGTGCTGTTGTCTAGTGGTGTCTGGTTTGCTTCAGAGCATGTGTAAAGGAAAAAGGGGAGCAAAGGTGAAGGAGATTATGTCAAACGAGACAAATGATACTGTTGAGTCTGGTCGTACATGTCGTCAGGGGCCTCTTCATAATGAACTCCCTGCTGCACTGATGACTGTGCACAACCATCAGCGGTGGCTAACTTTAGAGTCCCAGCGCACCGGCTCACTTCAAACCCTTGGTCATGGTGACACACACACTCACGGCTGTAATGTAACCTGACGGCAGCTGTGGTGTAGCTGCTGGCGTCAGTAGTTGGTAAGCCCTTGTCAACTCTACTGAGCTGGCATTGACCCACATTCTATTCCCAGCGTGAAGAATACGACGACTTAACAGGTATGGAGAATTCCTCGTAAGCTCAAGAAGAGGAAAGACAGGAGCGTAGTCGTTACACCAGGTCAGAGGGTGTGGTATTACTCAACTTTTCCTACATTTCTATCAATTACTGCTCCCAAAACTTTCCCTGATGCGCATATACAAGCATGTTGGGATGGGCTGAGTGGTATTTTGCAGACAGGTTCACCATTAAAACCTCATCAGGGGTCTGGGTGGCTTTATAGTTACACCTCCAGCCCACTGACAAAAAGCCACAAACTGCTCGTGTGAGGTCAAACAATCAGATTGTACTGTTTCCACTAAATTAGTTCTTCGTCCTGTCAACAGAGAGCCTCTACTGACGGATGATGTGACAGGGGGTATCCTGCGAAATGACACCACAGAGTTACAAACGCCAGCAGAGGTGATTAAAGGACCCAGAGAGGATTTCAAAATCAATGCGCTTTGATTGTCTGCCAATAATGGATTAATATGCCGGGTTTGCAGAGCCGAAAAAAGTCTGAGCTTTACAGCGCCGTGTTGTGGTATTGCTCTGTAGACAAAGTGGTGTTTAAAATGCCGATATTTTTAGATTTTTGGGGGGATAAAAGCGATCTTATTAAATCCATCCGTATACGAGACAGCCTCTTTGGTTTCAGGAACAGATATTTATCTTTTTCACTCACTCCTTCGTTCATCTGTCCATCTTTCATTCAGTAATCCACTCAGTCATGCGCGCTTTAATGCACTGATGATTCGTAGTTAGTTGCTTTTCAGCAGCGTAAACAGGGTCAAATCGAGTCCAAAAAACCCCACGAATGGACAGACAATGATAATATCTCTTCTGCCTGCTGTAGGACGTGAGCCTTGCAAAGATTTTTCGCAATCAGGTCACAGGCGTGTCAGGTTCTAGTCATGTAAATGGGACATTAAAGATTTATTTTACATTTCTGGACACGCACACCTCATTCATCCCTAATGATGATGCCTGCTTTTGGCTTCCGTCCACAGTAGTTCCCTCTTTTCATTGTCCCAATCCAGTCCCTGCCTCGGCTGTTAGACAACAAAGAGATTAATTTACAGTCGGTTCGCTGATGGAGACACATTGGGCTCATTTAGACGGGGCGATATGGAGCACGTGCTACACAACAGTGTAACTGGAGAGGGCAGCTTTAGCTGGTCTGGTCTGGGACAACCCTGCTCGAGGACAAACACATGCACCATGCTTTGGATTGGCTCCTTTTTCTTGCCATGCCTCCCTTTTTTTTGTCAATCCATATTCTCCTCTTTCACCCGTCATTATTTCCTGTCAGTCAACGTCCCCTTTCTCCAGCTCTCTGATTGTTTGGTGCATATTTCGAGTATTAATAAAGCGGCGTGGAATTTGTGCAGCAGGGGATTCATTATGAGCTATTTTTCCATTCAGATAATCCCTTTAAACACGCTACAAGCAGTCAACCAGTCATTTCTGCCAGCCAGCTCCTCAGATATTCATCCAGCCACTTAGTCAGCCTATCAGCCAGAGTTGCTATGGGTAATAGTGAAGAGCCAAACCTTAGCATGATTCCATGGCAACAGGGCTTAATAAATGTTTATGTTGGTTAACCGTGCAGTGGGGGGAAAAAAAATAAAGAAGCTTGCATTCATTTAGTAAAAGAAAATTGTATCATTTCCAAAAAAAGCCCCACTTTTCATTATTCCATTATTATAATTAGAGGCATTCAGTTAGAATAGAAGCAGCTTTGGTGAATACCTGCAGCTGATGTTAATGTGGCATTTGCTTTGTTGAAGAAACACTCCCTGGTTTTATTAGGGTGCACAACGGAGCAGAACCGGGGTCACTTCTATGCATTTGTGCAGTCGCTAGGGGTTACGTGGGAAGAAAGCGGTTTAATTTGAATGCAGATTATGATTAAATATGTCATGAATACAGAGAGTGCAAGAAGAAAAATCTAAAGAATCTGTATAAAGTAAATAAAATAGTACGTTAAATTTACAATCAAGTCAGAAAAGCACATTTATAACATATTTACAGGATAGTAACCGCCGCAATCGGGCCTCCAAATCCCACAATCCTCGTCTCACACTTTATATTTCACATTCAACTGTTGGTTAAGACAAAACCAACCCAGTAAATGTTAGGATTCGAGGCTGCTATGGTGCACGTAACACACGTAGGTGCTCTCTAAATAAATTCCTCGGTTGTTATCAAACCTCCACTCTATTAGTGGGTTTGTGTATAAGGTGCTAAGTGAGTTTGAGCTCACTCTGGGGAAAACAAAAGTGTGGGTTACGCTCGGCAAGTCCGCAGCTCCGCTTTTACTCAAATAATCAGATTTCATTCCAGTCGTGCTGTCATTTCCATGGTAACTGGCCTGTTAAGTTTTTTTTTTTTTTTTATCTGACTGTAAAAGCTCGTTTTCTCGCCGTTTTACTGTGTTTTCCTTCTCGAGC